CGGAAGGCCCGCTCTCTGCCGGCGGCGGACTCAGTGAGAAGACCCCCCTCCAGTCTGTTCCTTCCCCAGCAGCCTGGGGGTACCTTCCCCCCTCCCCCAGCAGACCCTGGTGGAGCCACGCTGGTCCCAGGCAGGAATTTCCCCTGGGGCTCTCCCTGCCACCCCACACCCCTTCACCCCCCAAATCTTGGGTTCAGTGTTTACTTTCTCATTCGAATGCCAGCGGGGGGGCGGGGGCTGGGGGGAGCTGGAAGGGTTGTGTTTACTTACCCTCTCCTGCCCTCACCTTCACCCCCAGGGGAGAGAAGCACCTCCCACCAGGGCAGGCGGGTCCTGAGTCCCGCCACTACGGGTGTCTGACCGAATGCCTGACCGAATGCGCGTGTGGCGTATTTTTGTTTGCTTATAAGCTTCACCCGCTCGCCCCCAGCCTGTAGCCTGACTCACCCTGCCAGCAAGCCCCTCGCCCCTAGAAGTCAAGAGCATATTTATTTTCAGAGTGAGAAGATTTATTTCTCCCAGAGAAAGGAAAATCTTGGAAAAGATTTAAAAACTCAGATCTACGTCTGACAGGTTTTTGGTTTTTTTTTAACCCTTGGCATCATCTTTAGAGTTCCTTTCCACGGATTTTTTTTTTTTTCTTGTGCGTGTATAAAATCAAAACAAAGGGGGAAAAAATAGGTTTTTGAAGTTCAGAACAGATTTCTGTACATAGGCTGCCATAAAGGACTTTTTTTCGGGAACATTGTTTCTTGTAGAAACATGTGGGAAGACTTTTTTGCTTATTTCTTTGTACTTCCAAAAAAAACCACACACACACACACACACACACACACACACACACACACAAGCAAGTCCCCCGCACCCCAGAAAGCAAAGAAGGCATGTAAATAATTTATGGAAAGTGACTGTTGTGACCAGGAGTCATCCTCACCAAGACGGGAGAGCTCCCGGCGGGGCTGCCCCGACCCTGCAGATGCAGGCCCGGAGCCTCTGGTATCTCAGCTTGTGTCAAGCTTGTTATCATGTAAATTCTGTACAAAGAATTGTTATTTTTCTCTTTTTTTTTTTTTGTCGTTGGTGGTTTTTTTTTTTTTTTTTTTTTTTTTTTTTTTTTTTCAATTTCTTTACCCCATGCCCTCTCTGTTTGAGACTATGCCCACCGGTTTCAATCTTCATGAAATCGGTGGCATTAAGACACGGAGGGGGACCTGGGCACAGCGGCAACCTTCTCTTCCTTTTGCGGTTTTCTGCCTCATTGTGCAACTGAGGAAATATTTATTTTTCACATGAGGAAATGTGTAGTTTGTAGAGATGGCCGATTTAAGTTACTTCTGGAGCCCCCAAGGGGCTGTCTTCAGTCTGTCCCCTCCTCCCGTAAAAGAAGTGGGGCAGGGGTAATGTGAGGAAACCAGGGTCCAGGGTCCTGCCCCACCCCTCACTCTGGCCTCACCTTGCCCAACCAGCCTTCCCTACGGGCGAGCAAGGGCCTGGACCCTCCCTGTCCCCAGGAACCACCACCCCCCTGTCCCACCCCTGAAATGGCTTGCAATAGCCAGAAATGTGTCAACTCATTTTTCTTTCAATGCCTTCATTTTCATTGAACAAACCTCTGCTTTTGAAGAATTGGGGGTTTCTGCTTTTTCTTTTTGTTGTCCCTGCCCCCCGCCGCCTCCCTCCTCCAGCAAAGAAGAGAACCCATAAGTTTTAGGGTTGTTTGTGCATATAGATTCTCATCGTACGTACCTTGTTTTGAAGAGAAGTGTTTCCGTTGTGGGTGTGTCTTGCTGTAAATATTTGTTCATATTTTTGTGAATTCAATACTATGTACCATTGTATTATAGTAACTTTTATAAAGCAAACCATAAATATACTGACTTTTCTTACAGATACGCCATCTCCCTTGCTCTCCTCTCTCTTCTCCTCCTCCTTTCTTTCTGTTGGGGGCACACCCTGCTCACTAAGGAGCGGGTGCTCCGGTAGTCAGGGGTAGGGGTGGAAGGAGCTAGGTGGGGTGTGGTACATTCAGACCATCTGCTTTTTTAAAAACCTATATATATTTTTCTTCCACTTTTATTGAGCTGTAATTGACATACAGCACTGTAAGACCAGCTGTTCTTAAACTCTAAGCCTGTAGGTGGATTCTTTGAACTGGGACAAGTTATAGTCAGACTAGACCTTCCACAGCTTTCAAGTTTTCCTTCTAGAACTCTTCTTAAAGCCTTAGGTATCTAACACTGCTAATGGTCTACAATTAAAGGAAACAAGATCAAATATCCTATTTCTATTACTAGAAGATCTTGGAAAGGTGGTACCTCAGAAATGATTAACACTAAGGGGACATCACTCCGGTCTGTGAGGCAGGAGGGGGCTGATAAAACAGTCACCAGTTGAGAAGAATTAAATGTATGCAGTGTTGTGGGTATTCCACAGGTTGTGTGCCCCATAGGTCTCAACTCTGCCTGATCCAGTGGTGGGGTAACTGAGGGACCCACGGAGAGTTTGTTAGAAGATGTCCACTTATCTTTGAGAAGGACAGGCTCAGAACCTCAGCAAAAAGCAGCGTGACTGAAAAGAAGTTCACTTCTTACTAAGGAAGCGCAAATTATACCATGATACCACTTCCCCTGTCAAGTGGCAGATACCAGTGTTGGTGAGCGCGGGGTGAGGGGCACTCACGCACCGTTAGTGGAAGCATTAGTTGCTGCAACCTTTAGGAGGAAAAATTACATGTTAATGATCAATATTTAAAATGCACATAAACTCTTGGCCCAAATGTTCCACTGTCAGGAATTGAACCTGAGAGCCACGAGCAGGCAAGGATACTGTACAAGGACGTTCTTTGCAGCCTTACTTGCGAGCAAAGAAATGAAGGCAAGGGAGGTGTCTCATTGGTGGGCTGTTTTCTTGGAATTGTCCATCCAGACAGGTGGACACCACTAGAGTTGGATTCGTGGGAACAGAAAAGGAGTTGACAGGCAGGGCCAGAAAAGAGAAGGTAGGGGCAGCTGCTGGCCATGCGCTTATTCATTCAACCAATATTTATTGAGCACCTACTATGTGCCAGGTACTCCTCTAGGCACTGGGGCTACAGGAGTGGAGAAAACATACTTCCTGTCTTCACGGTGATTGTGTCCTTGTGGGTGAGTCAGGCAAACATGAAGAATAAATGCTATGATAAGGAGAAAAATAGCTATGAGAAGTGGGTGTCAGTGGGAGAGAGGCGAAACTTTAAACAGGGTGGTCAGGGAAGCCCACTTACCTGACATGTGAACAAAACTCAAAGGAGAAAAGGGAGTCAGCCCTGTGGAGACCCAGGTCAAAGGAGATAGGGAGTTAGCCTGTGGAGACCTGGGGGAAAGGTATTCCTGGCAGAAGGAACAGTGAGTGCAAAGGTCCTGTGGCAGAAGACTGCCCGGTGTACTTGAGGACCAGCAAGGAGGCCTGTGTAGCTGCAGCTGAGTGACGGGGAAGGGTGAGTAAAGCAAATGAGCTCTGAGAGGTAGACCTGGTGGGGGAGTGGGGGAGGCAAACGCTGCAGAGCCTTGCAGGGCAGCACAGGGACAACCCAGGGCGTCCAGCCCAAGGCTCACCAAAGAAACACACGTGCAAATCTGAGTTTCCTTCAGCTTTCCTCTCCAACCTGCTGCTGTATTTTCCACCTCGATCAATGGCGTTTCTATCCCACGCCTCCACCCACAACTGCTGCCGCTGGTTACCTAAGCTCAAAGGCTGGAAATCCTGGGCTTCTCCTTTCCCCCAGCTACCAAGGCTGATGGTTCTTCTACGGTATTCAAATGCATCCACCTCTCCCTCTGTCCCTCAGTCCCACAGGGAAAGTCCTCTCTTCACTGCTTCTGCTGTGGGGGCCAAAGCGAAGCCTCAACTCAACACGTCTGCGTCAGAGCAGACGGGGGCTGTGCTGGAGAGGGGCAGGTGCCAGGTAGACTTGGGCGAGAGCCCCTCATCCAGGCCCCTCTCTAGAAATAACAAGAGCAAACACATAGCACTGAGGCTGTGCCAGCAACAGTTTTAAACATCTTTGATATCAAACTCACCGTAGTGCAGGACTCCCCTGGCGGTCCAGTGGTTAAGACGCCGTGCTTCCACTGCAGGGAGCCCGGGGTTTGATACCTGGTCGGGGAACTAAGATCCTGCATACCACTCAGCCACAAACAAACAAAACGAACAAAAAACAACAACCAAAAAACAGTAGCGCTAGGAGGTATTATCCTTATTTAACAGACAAGGGAAACCGAGGCACTGAGAGATCAAGTAGCTTGCCCAAGACCACACACAGCTAGGAAGCGGCTGACCAGGTAGTGGGGCTCCCTAGTCTGTGTTCAGCTAATGAGGGTCGGCTCTGTCCATGCCCCATCTGAAGAGGCACCTACTGCCCTGTGCCAGCTGGTTGTCACTGCACAGGAAGGCAAGGCCAGAACTGCCTGGTTGTCCCAGGTGGAACCAGAACTGTAGAGTTTGTATGTGAAATATCCTGACCTTCTGAAAGGTTGACTCGAATTTGTTAAAATCAGGCAGACGAAATAAAATACATCTGTGAGCCAGATCTGGCCCGTGAGCTACCAGTTTGCAGCCCCCTGTGTTACAGAATTTCCCTTCTTTGCATGAACCATGGGAAAATAGAGGGAGGGTATCTTTGGCCAGCAGCACTGGCCTGGGACCTGCCGTTGTTCCTCTGGTTTCTCACTGCTGTTCTTTTCATTTCTGAATTCATGATCCTAGAAGCCCTGATTTCTATAACCTGAGGGGGGTGGAAAAATTCCTCCCAATTCCTCCATTACAACAACTCCGATTTTTTTTTCTTACACTGAGATCCATCTGCTTCTAGTTCTGAGTTGACTCCTCCCCAGGGAGGGTTGTCAAGCATCAGAAGTAGGGAATTCCCTGGCCGGCCGGTGGTTAGGGCTTCGCACTCTCACCGCCCAGGGCCAGGGTTCGATCCTTGATTGGAACTAAGATCCCACAGGCTGTGCGGTGCAGCCAAAAAAAAAAAAAAAAAGAAAAGAAAAAGAAAAGAAAACGAAGAAAAAAAAGAAAAGCAGAGAAAGAAAAAATCAAAATCAGAAGCAGAAGAGGTCCTATTTGCCCCCACCTCCTTTTCTCCAGTTTTGAAGAAAATTTTCCTTCTGTTTTAGGACCAGTAGCTCCTTTCCCAACTGTGTCACTCTTTTTTGCAAGGGCCATTCACACTTGAGTATGAACTAGGCTCTCTTCAAATGGAGTCCACGTCTGGAGCAGGGTTGGGGGGAGTAGAGCTGCACAGGGGGTGTGGGGGAGTAGGCACTGGTGTCTGCCGTGCTGCTGGTAGAGGGCAGAAGCTGAGGGGCGCAGATCCCTTCTACCAGCTCTCACACCAGGAACCATGTGCCATGGGTGCTGATCGAGGATGATGCCCCAAAGTCCCTGGACTAACACTTTCCTAAGTCCAGAGGTTTGGGTTCAGGGCAGCAAAGTTGGGTACAGCTCATCCTTGGAGATCAGAACGCCATCAGACAGGATGCTGCCAAGCTTTGTCCCACCTTAGGGCCTTTACCCTTGCTGTACCCTCTTCCTGGGATGCTCTTTCCCCAGATTTTCCCATGGCTGGCTCCCAAATGTCACCTCCCAGAGGGGCCTTCCCTCCATCGACATTAGTCCTTCCTCCCACCTTCACCTCTACACAAGCTCATCACCCGCTTTACTTTCTTAATAGCATTTACCACTCTACAAAACGCTATTGTCTGTCTTTCCCTTTAGCGTGTAGGCCCTCTGCACCTCTTGGTTCCAGAACTCCCCGCAACCTGCGCGGTCCTACTCAGCCCAGCGCTAGCCCCCGGCGCCTCCTCGGCTCCCGCAGCCTCTGAACTCCTAACGCGGATGTCTCCTACAGTGCTGCCGCCCTGAGCTCCCCCTGGCGGCCAAAGAATCTCACTGCTCCAGCCCGGCACAAACACGTGGACACCGCCTTGGACCCCAGTCCGCTTTATTCCGGAGGGCGGGAGACTGAACAGCCCAACCGAGGGGGCGAGTTAGGAGGTAGGCGGAGTCTTGTGTGTGTGGGAGGTCCCGGAGGCGGCTGGTGGGCGGGGTCTAAAGGGAGCGGCCAGTAAGGAGGGCTCGCTCGCTGTTCAGGGCCTGTGGAGTGGGCGCGTTCCAGGACGAGGGGGCGTGGCCCACCGTGCGCCGGCAGGTGGGCGGGGCTTCGGTGGGTCAGGCGGCACCAGAGCGGCCTACATGCCGGGCACAGTCCCGTTGGTCTCCATGTCGGTGAGGTTGCCCCGCAGGTCCTGCTCCTCCTCGAAGGCCTTGAACAGTGAGTTGAAGTTGCCGGCTCCAAAACCCTGGAGCGGGAGAAAGGAGGTGAGCTGCGGACCCAGAAAGCCAGCCGCTGGGGACAGGCGGTCCTTAGTGGTACCTGGTGGTTGTAGCGCTGAATGACTTCCAGGAAGAGCGTGGGCCGGTCCTGCATGGGCTTGGTGAAAATCTGCAGGAGGTAGCCTTTCTCGTCGTAGTCCACCAGGATTTTCAGCTCCTAGGTGGGAGACAGGGGACTGGGTAAGGGGGAGGCTGGCTGGCCCCTCTAGCCTGAAATGGTGGGATATTTAGAAAGGCCATGGGGGCTCCTGCACCCCGAAAGCCAAGAAAAGACCCTTTTCTGCAGCAGTTCCAGACACCTCCACCTCCCCGCCTCAGCCCCTGTGTTAGCCACCCAAGGCTGGCCTGGAGCACCCAAGTAGCACCCACACAGCTCTCCCTGCTTCTGCTCTTGCCTCCTTACAATCCATCTTCCTCACATTCAGGGGTCTTTCAAAATCAGATCATCTCACTCCCCTGTTTAAAACTCTCCAGTGGGGCTTCCCTGGTGGCGCAGTGGTTGAGAGTCTGCCTGCCGATGCAGGGGACACGGGTTCGTGCCCCGGTCCGGGAAGATCCCACGTGCCGTGGAGTGGCTGGGCCCGTGAGCCATGGCTGCTGAGCCTGCGCGTCCGGAGCCTGTGCTCCGCAACAGGAGAGGCCACAACAGTGAGAGGCCCACGTACGGCAAAAAAAAAGTAGAAGTAGAGTTACCATATGACCGACCCAGGAATTTAACTCCTAGGTATCTACCCAAGAGAATTAAAACGTATGTCCACACAGCTACTTGTTACCCAGATGATCATAGCATTATTCATGATAGCCAAAAAGTGGAAACAAATGTCCATCAACTGATGAGTGGGTAAGCAAAATGTGGTCTATTCATCCAATGGAATATTATTCAGCTATAAAAAGGAACAAAGTACTGACACGTGCTACAATACGGATGAACCTTGAAAACATGATGCTGAGTGAAAGAAACCAGTCACAAAAGATTATGTGATTCCATTTATATGACATGTTCAGAAAAAGCAGCTCTATAGAGACAGAAGATCAGTGGTTGCCTAGGGCTGAGGGTGAGGAGGTGGAATGGGGAGATTGAGAGGTGGTTTCTAAGAGGTTTCAGGTCTCCTTTTAGAGTGATGAAAATGTTCCAAAATTGATTTCAATGATGGCTGCATAATACAGTGAAGAGCCAAAAACCACTGAATTGTGTGTTTTAAAAAATGATGTATGTTTTGTGCCTTAAATATCAATAAAGCTGTCAAAAACAAAACCAGAAAAACCTCCAATGGTTTCTGGCCACAGAAGAACAAAATCCGAACTCTTAAATAGCCTACCAGAGGAATCGGCTCCTGCCTACCTCTTTGACCTGGGCCACTCCTCAAATACTTCCTTTCATTCACTCTGGCCCTCTTTCTGTTTCTCAAATACTCAGAGCTTGCTCTTACCTCAGGACATTTGCACTTGCTGTTCCCTCTGCCAGGACTGCTCTTTCTCTAGGTCTTCACACAGCCAACTCCCTTTCATCATCTTGATTTCACTGAAATGTCACCTCCTCAGAGAGGCCTTCCCTGACTGCCTCCTATGTAGCAGCCCCAGATCACTCTCTGTCATAGCCTGTTTTAAGTTTCTGCACAGCACCAACTCTCTCTCTCTCTCCAATGGTGTTTGTGTTGTTTATTTGTCATCTGTCTTCTCACTAGAATGCAAGTTCCATGATGGCAGGGACCTGGTCTGCTTTCCTGGCTGCATCCCAGTGCCTGATGCAAGGTTGAGACAGCATTTGTGAGGCAAGGTGGAACTCAGGGCTTGTTCTCGGCTGACTGAGGATCCTGTTCGAGGCCTTACCTCCAGAACATCAATATTCTCCTTCACCCGGATCTTGGCCGACTTGAGCTTCTCCCGCAGTTGTTTGTAGTATGTGGACGGAACAGCCAAAAACTCCATGCCTCTCTCTCTCAAGTGGCGAATCTGTCTCAGAGCAGGGTCAAGGTCAATCCTCTCTCCATGCTCAACACTCCCAGCCAGGGGGAAGTGCTGGGCCAGGAGGACGCAGGGTCCCTACTCCAGCTTCCCCAAACTGCCAGGATGCAGTGTGACCTCATCCCCTTCCTTCTTTGGGCCTTGTGGGTCCCGATGGAAGAACAGCAATCACTAACATTTATGGGACCTCACTACGTGCCTCTCTCGAGCACTTTCTATGTACTGTCTCATTATGTCGATGCACTAATCTTTTGAGACATTTAGATGATTGTTCTCCCCATTTCATAGCTGGGAAAACTGAGGCATTGAGAGATTAAGTATTAATATCTATTCTCAACATAGGAGCCAGAGGGATTTTACTAAAATACAAGTCAAATCATGTCACTCCTCTGCTTACCAACGGTGGTGTCTCAGAGTCAAATTTAAAGTCCTCACTATCTGCCCCCACTCCTACCTTCTGACCGCATCTCCTACCCTTCTCTTCCTTGTTCATTCTGTTCCAGCTGTTCCTTTAACCTTCCTCTACCCTGGATGTCCCTTATTCCTGGGGCGCTTTCCCCAGATTTCCACTGCTTCCTCTCTCCTCTGCATTTTTTTTTTTTTTTGGGGGGGTACACGGGCCTCTCACTGTTGTGGCCTCTCCTGTTGCGGAGCACAGGCTCCAGACGCGCAGACTCAGCGGCCATGGCTCACAGGCCTAGCCGCTCCGCGGCATGTGGGATCTTCCCAGACTGGGGCACGAACCCATGTCCCCTGCATCGGCAGGCAGTTTCTCAACCACTGCGCCACCAGGGAAGCCCAATGTCTTCTGCATTCTTAAATGTCTCCTTCTTAGCGCTAGGACTTTGGTGACCGCCTAATTTAAATATACAAAGTCCTGGGACTTCCCTGGTGGTCCAGTGGGTAAGACTCTGCCCTCCCAGTGCAGGGGCCTGGGTTCAATCCCTGGTCAGGGAACTAGATCCTACATGACGCAACTAAGAAGCCCGCGTGCCACAACGAAGATCCCGTGTGCCGCAGCTAAGACCTGGCACAGCCAAAATAAATAAATAAAAAAGAAAAAGAAAAACTTGAAATTAAAAAAAAAAAAACGTCCTTCACCCTCCCTCGCCCATGGCCCTGCTTGATTTTCCTCTAGAGCACTCACTGCCATCTAACAGAGATATTTTACTAATTTTGTTTTGTGCCTCCGTAAGGGTAGAAACTATTGTCTTGTTGGCTAATGTGTCCCAAGTACCTGAAACAGTGCCTGGCACATAGTAGGTGCTCAATAAGCATCTATTGCGTGAATGAATGAATGAAGTTGCCATGGTCATGGTGAATTCTTGGTTGGGCCGGGGCTGAATGGGACAGGCCAGGCTCTTGTCCACTTGGTCGTACTGCCACATTAAGAACAGATAGGACCCAGCCTCCCCAAGGGCTGGAGCCATAGACTCAGGACATTTAGTTTAGATGAAAGGACCTAGTGGATCTTGTAGCTTAATATCCTCATTTTCAATTTGATGCAGCTGAAGCCCAGAGAGGGGGTTGAATCCCCCAAAGACTCACAGTATGTTACTGGCAGAACCAGGTCTAGAGCCCAGGCTTCTTGTTACTCTGGCACTTGCTACTTCTGTAGCAGAGAGACCAAACTCTCTAGGGTGGGACTATGCCTGCACATGAATGGCACGAGCCAGTAAGGGAGCCCTGTCAGCCGTCTGGGCTGACGAAGGGGACCCAGGACTGCCACTCGTCACCCCCATCCCCAGCCTCTGACTCCGTTTGCAGAGTTTGGCTCTGGAGCTGAATGGGAGGTGAATTAGGACCAGGAATGGGCTTCTAACCGCTGTGATGATGTCTTCAGTCTTGAGAGCGATGTGCTGGACCCCAGCGCCCCCGTTATAGTCCACATATTCCTGTGGGAGGGGAGCAAGGAAACCATTGTCAGTGGCCCCGTCACCCACACCCCTGCCCCTGCAAGAGCCCTCAAACCTCTTCCCTGCTTCATTCTTCCCCAGCCAAGGCCCCCGGGGCCCGAGGGAGGCCCCACCTGGATCTGGGACTTCTTCCTGCCCGGCGCTGGCTCGTTAATGGGCATTTTGATGGACTCCTCGTAATTGGCCACCACGATGGACCGCAGAGAGCTGTACTCCGTGTGCACCTGCGTGTCATCCACGGACCAGAAACGGTGGAACTGCAGGTTCTTCAGGTACCTGTGGGGGGTGGCCGGAAGGGCACAATGGCTCTGATGTTGGCCTGGGACCTGCCCCCTGCCCCTATTCCACCTTCCAGAATTTGTTCCCTGAGCAGGCTCCAAAAAGGGTACCACCTTTCACATCACGCACATCATAGGTTTGTACCTTTATTATGACAATTTTCCTTTGGGTGGAAGTAAAGCATCTGATAACAAGATCCGTATACATGGCACCGCTCCAACAGATGGAGGTGCTTTTGAGAAAGGGTACTTGCTTCTAATTTGCACACACATGCTCTTTGGGTAGTGACAGCCTTCCTCCAAGCCTCCCTGGACTGTGACACCCCCTGTGTTGATTCCCCAAGGTTCCTCAGAGGGAGACCGGTGGGTCACTTTGGGCCTTAAATCCTCTGGTCTCCATGGTGACAGTTTTTCAGGGAACAGATGAATCAGTGACCTCAGACTAACCTGGCCCCACCTCGTGCTCTATTTCCTGACAACACCTGGGAGTGGGCCTGTCACACATGTGGGAAGGGCTTGGGCCAGGGACTCACCATTCTGAGGCAGACAGCATCTCCTGATCAGGCTGGTTTCCCACAATGTGATCAATTCTCTCGAGACTGCAGTTGGGCCTGGGAGAGGGAGGCAGTTAGGGGGTGAGGAGAAGGCTACTCCCTAAATCTCTTCCTTCCACCAGCCCCTCAATAACAGTAACTGCTCATTATTTCCATAGCACTTACTATAGACACACTATCTGCATCAACTCACGCACTGTTACTAGCCCCATTTTACAGATGAAGAAACTGAGGCTTAGAAAAATAACTTGCCAAGGTTAAATAGCTAGTAAGTGACAGAGCTGGGATTTGAACCAAGGCAGTTGGGTTCCAGACCCTAGGCTCTTGGCCTCTATGCTGCCTCTTCAAGCCATCCTGGGATGCTCAGGGGCTCCCCAGCAGGGACCAAGATGCTCTGTCCCCTCTGCGTGGAAGAGAGGGCACCCCACCCTTGCCCCAAGGGGCACTCACAGCTTGGAAAGTAGGGGGTCGACGAATGCTGGGGCCTCGAATCCAGGCAGGAACCAGCCGGTGTAGTTCATCTTCTCCACCAGGGTGTGTGTAGTATCCCCATACTGTGGGTGGCGAACAGCCTGAGGTCCCATCCCTGCTGAGGCCAGGCTGCATTTCATGGTGCCAACACAGCCCTGGGTTCCAACCCAGACCTGGCCCTAACTCCAAGTGTGATTTTGGGCAAGTCACTTCCCCTTTCCAAAATGAATTGCAGTCTGACATTTGGGAATTTGACAGTCTGTCTGCCCCACAGGACCAGAAGCTCTGTGGAGGCGGGGATGCCATTTTGCTCATGATGCTGTCCTGGCACATAATAGGTGCTCGATTAAAATGTGTTGCCTGAATGAAGATGATGAGGGTGTTGGATCTAATTATATGGAAGGGCCTTTTCAATCATTCTAACAATCTTTGAGTTGTATTAAATCTTGAGGAGGAAGGACCTATGATTGTATCAGGTAATCTTTGCTGCGTGTCTGTGATATGCCAAGCGCTGTTGTTCTAAGTGCTATACACAAATCATCTCATTTGATCCTTTAAATGACCGCGGGAGGAGTTATAGCTGAAGAAACAGGCACAGAACGGTTAATTAGCGTGTGGCAGATCACACAGGTGGACCACGCAGGTGGTAACTTGCTCATTTAAACGGAATCCCAGGGAGGTGAAGTGATTTGCCCAAAGTCACATAGCTTGAGTGGGGCGGGGCTTCCCTCCCACCTTCTTCCCCAGACCCACGCATCTCCTTCCTTGCATCCCCATGCTATCATCCCCCACTGGGGAGGAAGGGAAGCCCAGAGGCGTGACTGGTAGCCCTCCTCAGCCTCTGCACACCAGCCAAGAATACAGGAGATCAGGGTCCAGGGAGAATGTCTGCACTTTGAGGCACAAGTGTGGGATGGTATAATGGAGTCAGGGGCTGGGGAGGGGGGTCCTGGCATCTAAGTGGGTGCTGACAGCAGGAGACGTGGGGCACTGAGGTTAACTCACCGTCTGCAGCACAGCAAACTTCACCTTCCCAAACTTATCTTGCTCTACCCAGGGTTCCCGCACGATCTTGGCGCCTCGTTCCCGGGCTTTCTGCAGAGGAGATGGGGTGGGGAGGTGGTCAGTGCTGGACCCTCAGTGCTGGACCCTTTGGCTGCCGCTGCTGGATCCCCTCTGCGTGGTCCTGCCGCAGCCTCCTCCAGTTTTTCCAGCCCCAGGCAGGAACTCCAGTGAACTTTAGCTGCTGCCCTTGACACCCATGGCTCATGCCCATTTGGCAGATAGGGAAACTGAGGTCCAGGCCCAGAGCTGGGGCTATTTAAGACAAACCAGGTGGGGGTGGGGGTCTGTCCTGCCTGTCCTGTGCTAACTCACTCTGTGGCCCTTCGCCCTCTCTAGTCCTCAGTTTCTTCATCTGTAAAAAGGGTGGTTGGATAAGACAAATACAAGCTGACATTTATTGAGCACCTACTATGTGTCACACCCTCTGTCAAGTGCCTTACATGCATGAATCATGTATTTGATATTTAGCAAAACCTTATTACTGCATGTCTATGCTTATCACATGTCAGGCACTGTTGTAAGTACTAGCCTCTTTAATCTGCACAGCAACATTACATGAAAGGCACTATAATTGTCTCTATTTTATAGATGAGAACATTGAGGCACAGAGAATTTAAGTCACTCACCTGAAGTCACACAGCTAATAAGATAGAGACCCAGCAGTCTGCCTCTGGAATCTACACTCTGAACATCTAAACTGCCTCTTGAATACAGCGTTTGGTACAGTCAGGCCCAAGAAATGATAATTGTGACCTCGTTTCCTCTTTGTAACAACTCAGTGAGGTAGGTGGTTATCCCCATTTTACAGATGCAGAAACTGAGGCTCAGACAGAGGTTGCACGGCTACTAAGGGGCAGGGTGTCACTGGAACTCAGGTGTGTGTCAGCCAACATCTGGGCACATCACTCCAGCGTGGCAATGTCCTCCAGCCCTGACTGATGGGGGTCCCTGTCGCAGACAGAGGGCAGGCTGAGCCTTACTGCTTCGTCTCCGCACCAGCCCAGGTGCGGCCTCACCTGCACGATGTAGTCACAATCCTCCACCTCGAAGGCAATGTCCTTCACTCCGTCGCCATGTTTCACCAGGTGATCGCCCATCTCTGTGGCCGGCAGGGGAGGCAGGTGGCGCTGGAGTCATGGCCCCTCCCTGAACCCTGATCCACCCCTGTGTCCCTAACCCCCACCCACAAAACCATGTCTCCACTCCCTGGCACCCCGAACCCTCTGGGGCCCCCTCACCTTTGTTCCAGGGGTTGAGGGCAGAGGAGAAGATGAACACAATCTAAGATGTAGAGGAGAAGGGAGGTGTGGCTGGTGGCTCAGGTGAGCTTCTAGAGGTGCATCCCCGGCCCCCCTCCCTGCCCACCAGTGAGATACCCCTGGTGGGACATTAGGACAAGACCCCTCTTCCCAGCCAGGCAGGACTGTTGACCCTGGGTTCCTGTCCTTTCTCAGCCTTAGCTTCCCCTCTGGTCCTGAGGGATGGGGGCTTCTCCCGTGACAGACCCTCCTGGGGCCTTGGGATGAGCTGCCAGTCAAGCCTCCCAGTGGGGAGAGCCCCAGGGATCCATGGACCAGGGCACTGCTTAGATTTCCAGTCTGACGTCTGAGGCCTTTGCCAACTTTTCCTGAACGTCTGTGAGACCAGCGTCGGGCCAGGCTGAGAAGTAGACCAAACCAAGAAGGTCCCTGTTGCATGTCGTACGAAGGTGCCGGTGGAGGGCCCAGTGAAGGCTGACCTCGGTGCACGCTCCGCTAACCACACCGGGCAGCCTGGAAGAGCACTGGGCCGCCTGGAGGAAGGGCTTCCTGGCCTCCTGCACCCAGAGGTGCCAGAGCTGTCAGGGAGCTCAGAGACCAGCAGGGAGAGAGATGGCCCTCCTGGATGGGTAGGGTCCTGGGTGGAGACTCACCTTCCCTTGCTTGATCACGTGGCTGACTGTCTCCCGGGAACCCGTCTCCAGGCCCTTGTAGGCTAGGGGTTCAAAGCCCATCTTGTTGCAGTAGTACGACGCAGCCTGAATCACAGAGTTGCAGACGGGCCCGTGAGGGTCGAGGGGCAGGCCCCCAGTCCCCCAAGCCTATCTGCCCTGTTGCCCCAGCTGCCGAGATCCTCCTGGGAAGAAAGCCGGCTCCCTGGCCCACGCTGATCTCAGGTAAGTTTCCCACTGGGATCCGTGGCCCTGATTGTGTAATTAGGATCCAAAGAGTGACTGTCCATCCTGGGACTCTCCCAACATTGGCCCTGATCCTCCCGTCCCAGGGCCCAATCACAGACCCAGCTGGAGACCTGCCCTTGTCCTAGAGGCCCCCTTGCCTGCCCTCTATCCACTCCCAACACCTTGCCCAGCTTTTACCTGCTTCGCGTTGCCAACCCAGAAGGTCACGGAGTGAAAGTGGAGGAATCGGCCTCTCTCAGGCTGCAGAAGAAGAGAAGGGGCAAGGCTTAGTCCCTAGAAGTGGGTCTAGAAAAGTGCAAGTGGAGAGGTGTCCCCTAGCCACCTCCCTTGTCCCACCCTCAATCCAAGAACTGAGGAGAAGCCAGCCCGCCCCACCCTGCTGCCCTGAAGGCTTGCCAAGCCTCGAAAGGTTTCTCATGTAGAAACTGAGCTCCTGTGGGCTCAGGATTGGTGAGCCCCCCTCTCCCCCGGGAGGCCTGCCCAAGTTTCACAGGGGGAAACAGCCTTATGCTGCAGCGACACAGATTTAAGTTAGACCTTAGAAAGAACTTCCAGACAGGATTAAGGGATTGGCAGGAATTTAAGAAGAGGTAAAAGTTTTTCTTAGGAGGGCAAGGTTGAGTCCAGCTCAGTCTAGACGTGGCAGGGGGGGCAGAGATGAACTTGAGTGTGCATCCAGAACGTCACGTAACCCTTGTAGCTATTATTCCTCTTCTGCTCCTTGCTACTAGCATCCCGGTCTCCCGGGGCCCTGACCCCACATTTCCCCTCCTGCTTACCTTCTCTCCTTTGTTGCTGTAAGTCGTCTAAGGAGAAAGAAAAGGACAGTAAGACATGGAAACTTGGACACAAGGTGCTTCTGGAAATCTCACTCCAGATCCATGGCCGTTGGCAAAAGCTGCCATGGCTCCAGGCAGGCTCTTACCATGACTGATCTTGGTCACACTTCCTCCTGGGAAGACTGGGATGAGAGGCCAGCAGAGTGCTGGACAGAAATATTTAACACCCAGCAAGTCCCGCCCCTGGCCTCCTGGCCTTCCTGGGGGTGGGAGGTGATCCTGGAAGCTCCTAGGCCTGGAAGCCTCTGATCCAGGCACGGCCTCATTGGACAGGGTGATGCTGTCAGGCCTAGAAAGGGGGAGTGACTCGCCCAAGGCCACCAGCCAGTTGGGGGCAGAGCCGGGGCCAGAAGCCAAGGGCACATTCTTTCCAGGACCCTGGGCTGGGACTGCGATCTTTGCCCTCCAGAATCCAAAGCTGAGAAGCCAAGGCCAGCTTGGGTGCAGAGGTGGCTCCAGCATTCTTATTCAGGGAGAATTTGAGGGGGATTAGGGACTGGTCTTGAAGCCAGCCACTTGTTTGCATAGCAAGTGTATGGTTTATATTTAGGTAAAAAGCTTGTATTCAATAGTGGTTAGAGGCATGGGTGTGGGGGTTTGGATCCTGGAGGTCTACATACTATGTGACTGGGGAAAGTTACCGAACTCCTCTAAGCCTCAGTCTCCCGTCTGTAAAATGGGAACAATAGTAGTGTAGCAGGGCATTAAATGAGATAAACATAAGTTTTTGGAATAGAATCTGGCATACAGTAAGATCTCTGTTAATGCTGGTTATGATTAGTTATGTTTCTTTGGGGCTTTGCGTGGGGGGCTGATGGAGAATAGGGAGACCTTGGCGTTGCCACAGCCTGGGTGTTGGGAAAGAGGTTGTGGCCCTACTCCTGGCCCAGAGTGGTGGGAAGGGGGAGCTTACGGCCCTGGGAGGAGGAAGGCCTGGGTTCCTCCCCAGCATCCCCCATACCCGAATCCTCAAGGCTCACTTTCCTGGAAGATGGAGTGGTAACTGCTGGCCAGCTGTGGCATTTACCTGAGGGCTCCAGGACAGCCCCCTGCCTCTAGCTCCATGTCCGTCCCCAGAAACTCTGTTGCTGAGACATCTTCCTGGGGAACTGACTTCATCAACTATCCTCTTTGCCTGGAAACTCTTCCAAGACCCTGAAGCTGGCAGTCTCAGCCAGGGACTGTGCCAACCCCACCCCACCCTCTTGCATTTTGGCTCCCTAAATGTCCTGCATTAGCAGTTTTTGTTGTTGTTGTCTTTTGAGAGTAATATTTATTTTGTCCTAATTATAAATAACTCATAGGTTTTCTTTCCAATTTATTTAAACTAAAAAAAAAAAAAGTTTATGGGACTTCCCTGGCAGTCCATTGGTTAAGACTCTGCGCTTCCACTGCAGGGGCCACGGGTTCGATCCCTGCTCGGGGAACTAGCTGCCACATGCATGCCACAACTGAGTCCATATACTGCAGCTAAGAAGCCCGCATGCCACAACTAAAGATCTGAGGTGCTGCAACTAAAGATCCTGCATACCACACCTAAGACCTGGCGCAGCCAAAATAAATAAATAAATATTGAAAAAATATTACACTGTGTATATATATACACACCACATTTTCTTTATCCATTCAGCCATTGATGGGCACTTAGGCTGCTTCTATATCTTGGATATTGTAAATAATGCTGCAATGAACATGGGGATGCAGATATCTTTCTGAGTTAGTATTTTTGTTTTCTTTGATATATACCCAGAAGTAGAATTGCTGGATCATAGTTCTACTTTTAATTTTTTGAGGAATCTCCATATTGTTTTCCATAGTGGCTGCACCAATTTACATTCCCACCAGCAGTGCACAAGGGTTTCCTTTTCTCAACATCCTTGCCAATGCTTATGTCTTGTCTTTTTTTTTTTTTTTTGTGCGGTACGTGGGCCTCTCACTGTTGTGGCCTCTCCCGTTGCGGAGCACAGGCTCTGGACGTGCAGGCTCAGCGGCCATGGCTCACGGGCCCAGCCGCTCCGCGGCATGTGGGATCTTCCCGGACCGGGGCACGAACCTGTGTCCCCTGCATCGGCAGGCAGACTCTCAACCACTGTACCACCAGGGAAGCCCATGTCTTGTCTTTTTGATGATAGCCATTCTAACAGGTGTGAGGTGATAGCTTATGGTGGTCTTGATTTGCGTTTTCCTGACGATTAGTGATGTTCTGCATCTTTTCATGTACCTGTTTGCCATCTGTACGTATGTCTTTGGAAGAATGTCTAGATCTTCTGCCCATTTTTCAATCCGATTATTTGTTTTTTTGCTAGTGAGTTATGAGTTCTTTATATTCAGTATATTTTAGATGTTATCCCCTTATCAAATATATGATTGGCAAATATTTCTTCCCACTCAGTAAGTGGCCTTTTCATTTTGTTTATGGTTTCCTTTGCTGTGCAGAAACTTTTTAGTTTGATGCTAGTCCCACTTGTTTATTTTTGCTTTTGCTTTTGGTGTGAGAAGCCTTTTTTTTTTTTAATACAGAAAAACATAATCTTGGCAAGTTATGACCTCTTGGATCATTCAATCCAACATTCTCATTTCTCATATGAGAAAAACTGACAAACAGCAAGAAGGTGCCTGACATTACTCCCCTCTTTTCTTCCTCCCCCTCCTCCCTCCCTGCCTCCCATGTCTTTCCCTACCAACCAGGGAGCAGAGAGGGGCTTGTAGCAGGGAGGAGTCCCCCTCCCCACCCTCCTCAGCAAAACCTGCTAGGTCCCCTGGGC